AGATTTAGTATTTTTGGTTTGAAAAATTATATTTTTTTAAAAAAGTTATTTTTGTCATTTATTATTTTGGACTGAACTAGATGCATCTTCATCCAGATGCATCATCAAGACTCACCCTCATTTGGGTGAGAATTTGAGATGAGTTTTAAGAAATTCAGTTAGGTGATCCATCTGGATGTAGCATTTTGATGTACAAAACAAACATTGATTTGCATCTTCACCCAGATGGATCACTTGGGTGAGCAAACGAACAGCACCTTAGTAAATTACAACCTTATCCAGATTCTCAATCTTGGCAAATAATCAGACAGTGGGAGAGAGGCAAAGATTAAGTGCATCTATCACAATTCTGTGAAGACAACTTGATGATAAAACAAAATGCTTATGATAATGATCTTATCGGACACAAGTACATGTGTGTTCCATAAACCAAACAACAAAAAAGAAAACAGAGGCATGTGTAAGTGAGGGATTAAACAACTTTTAAAACGGACTCTCCTTTATTTTTTCTTCTTTTAATGCATTGGCCCAGAAGGACCACCACCATAATGGTGTGGCGGCATATAACCACCCGGACCTTGATGCATCGACGGTGGTGCCATGTAGTGACTGTGACCTAGCCCTCCTGATTGCCCCCACCCCCCTTGTGGCTGCTGCTGCTGGTAGCTCGCATCTGCTCCCTGGTATTGCGGTGAATTACCCGGGTATGGATTATGCCCGGGCTGTGGAGCCATCGCAACAGCCGGGTCTGGCATTGTGTAGTCTCTGCTTCTATCGCTGTTCATCTGAAAATCCAAAAAAAAAGTCTTTACTTTCGAACTTTATAAAGAGAGGACTACTTTTGCTAACTAACTTACCTTTATGCTGAGGTCAGTGTGGCGTGAGTAAGTGATGTGTAGCTTACAAAACCCACCTTCATAAATACAATGTCCTTCCAATGCTCCTTTCGCCACCACAGCCGTTTGAACATCTGTTTTTTTTTTCATTTGAGAATTTGCTCTTACAGATCCTAACGATAATGGAAAACAGAGCATATTTTTTATATAATACCTGGGTATTGAATCAATGCCTGTAGCCCACCGTTCTTGTCAAACATTGCAATCTTTTGAACAGCTCCAAAAGCCGCGAAAACCTACTCGTTCATAAAGAAGAAAATGGGATTAATATTTTCGGAAGGAAAGATTCAATGAGTCATCGTCTAGCGAGTATTAAATACCGTGTGCAAAACATCCAAGGTTACTGCATATTGCATGTTCTCGATGGATGCAAGAAGAACATTACTTTCAGGCTCCATCTTCCTCCCGTCTAGACCCACAACCACCTAGTACGAATGACACATTGATCAGGTAAAATAGCAAGCGGATTTTCAACCACAAATGCATTTTCGAGTAAGAGACTGTTGCTAAATTGCTTACCTGCCCAGTACTATCAATGGCTGATGGAGCAACAGGAAGGTAAGGATTAGTATAGTCCCTGTAAATTAGAGAGGAAAACAGTTAATTTGTTATGAGCATAGAATCAAAGGCAGTAACCAAGTAAAACAAAACATTATTCAACACAACGTGTGAATACACATACCTGCTCCGATGACTCTGGAATTTGACAGTCAGATCCGTGTGAGCAGAATATGTGATTTTAAGAGAGCATTGGCTGACTTCCTTAGGGAGTAGATAACTAATGCCGAGAAAGAGATTTCAGTAATAAGTATTGAGTCAATGTAACTAATATATTATAACATTAAGCCTGAATGGTTTGTAATAAAAAGAAACACCAAAATATTTGCTAAGAAGCCCACAGGAGAAAAAACTATCCACTTTCTAAGTATCTACCAATGCCCCCAGCTTCGTACATAAAAAGACTAATTGCAAATTTGGTTATCCTACGTCAATCATCACCAAACATGACTCTAATGAAATTTGACATGAGATGACTGAAAATCCTATGGACACTTGGAAGGCTGAAATGTCAGACCCTACATGCAGTATCTGGAATTATACAGCCCTGCACAGTTAGACTAAATACCGTGTCAAAAAAAATTAAACAACTATCACCTAGGGATGCTTCTTCCATCGAGGGAAGTTCTTGCAGAGGTTGCAGTTTCTGCGTCAGAAAATTGAACAAGGGCCTACGAGAAATTAAGACAATAAACAATATAAGTACCCATAACTCGAAAAACAATATACAAAGCAAGTGAGGGATAGGTATTATACCTGATATCCAGCTGTCTTCTCGAAAGTAGTAATCTTGTGGACGAAACCAAAGGCTGAGAATACCTGCATTGCAAACCAGCAATTAGAACAACAACAACAACAAAAAAAAAGAGAAGAAGGGCCTTTGTAATTTTTCTGCACTTCAGACATATTCAGTTCACACTCTACATATCAAATTCGCAAAGCCTCACAAGAGTTGAGATAGCAAATTAAACAAACAAAATATGGTGTGGTAAGTTTGAGGCCTGTCTACACTATGGAAGGCACACGATATGTGCCTTCCAAGATATCAAACAATCGTACTACATAGACTCAAGAGATTGATGAACCTCTAGATAGCCACCTTAACTTCAATATCACAAAAGATGTGCAGAGAGCTGAAACCTATCGTATCAAACAAAAATAATATCTACTATGATGTAAGATCAAATCTTAGAAAGCCTATCAGAGTATTCGATAAAAGGGAAGTGTGAGGGAGAAAGAGTAGGGAAGAGAGAAAGAGAGGGAGAGAGAGAGAAAGAGTCAGTATTAGGGAAAGGAGAAAGGAAACAAACACACATTGTGCTCTTTCTCCTAATGCAAATAAGCTGCCACTGAAGATATTGCCTTGACATGGCCCTGCTGATCCATTTACATTCATGTCAAAAAACAAAGCATTCCTCTAAATTCTAGTTTCATCAAACAAATCTTTCATCAAAAAATATGTTTTTTACTTCCTCTAAACGAAAACCAAAAGAAAACGTCCTTCCTTGCTTGATCAACTTACCAAATGCAAAACATCAATGCTAACCATCCGAGCATCCTCCCCTTCCACCGTCACAAGCAGAACATTCCCAACCACATCCGCCGCCGTTTTGTTATTCACAATCTCCTGCCTGTTGGAGTACTGAAGGTACACAGTTTTACCTCGAACCTGAGCTGGCTCTGACGATGAAGCGTAGAAAGATATCATCTGTATCGCCTGATTCAAATCCTCCTGTAAAAAAAAAAACAAAAAAAAAATCAAAACTTTTTTTTTCAATTTCTGCTGTTTTTTCAAAAAGAATAATGATTTTTATATTTACTTACGAACTCAATAAAGGCTTGGTTTTTATTGGCTCCAACATTGCACTTTGTATTCACAACGGTGCCAAAGGGCTTCCCGAGCTCGATTAACTCTTCCTCGGTGCATTCCCACGGCAAGTTTCGTAAATGGAGAACCTTTGAAGGTGTCTGCGTGTAACGGAACTGTTGCTGGCTTGATACGGAAGACATATCGTGTCTAGCAGCGATCTACAAAAATCGGAAAATCGTTAGATCTCAGTAAAAACTGATTCGCGAATCGATATCGAGACGATTTCGTTTTAGTAGTGTTACCTGAAGAAAGCCTTCTTCGGTGATTGGGAACTTGCAGAGAAATTAGGGTTTCGCGATTTGGGAAGAAGATGATTGAATGAATCAGAGGAGAGAGATTGGATTAGGAGGAAAAGCGGTCTCGTTAAACGACGGCGTTTAGAAGTCATAGTTAATGGGCTGTTAATAAAGATGGGCTTAACTCTTTCGCTGACTTATTATTACCATTTCCGAATAAGCTGAAATAAGATTCCGAGCCGAAGCCCATATATTTTTTTTCTGGAGAAACCTATAAATTGCCACTAGTACACTTTTTAGAAACAATGAATTATGACAAAAGATAAGTGAACAAAAAAAAATGAATTATGACAAAAGACATTTTTTTTGAATAACCCGATGTATCTTGACGTCTACCAAAATGAATCCAGACTAGCGGTGAGTGTCCGTATCAGTCTACATTATCGACTGGAGTATGCCTTGGTCATCAGACGTTAGGGTAGCTCAGATTTTAAATTTTACCTCCAGTAATCAGCGAGATTCAAACCCAAATCCGTATTGAGGCGAAGCTCCCTTAATACCACTGGACCGTCCTAGTTTGGTTGACAAAAGACATTCAAACACACATAGATAAGTAAAGCGGAGAAATACCATCAAAAACAATTGAAACATCTTAGTTGAGTTGTTTGATTAAATTCATTAATAGTTTTACAGTAAGATTTTTTGTGCTTGAGTTTCTAAATGCGATTTGATATAAATTACGTAGATTAATGGAAAAGATACGAGAAACTGTTATTATGATTGAAGTAAACGTATATTTTCATTTTTCATAGTGTGGTGGTGATTTATTAAATTGTAATACAATAACAAAACAGTGTTAAAAATTGAATAATATAAATCAAAAGAAAACTTTGTTTTCAGAGTGATGGTGTTTTCTGTGAACTAAATCGTTGATTTCAAGTAATTAATATTTGGAAATACGAGGTTGATTAGTTGGTGTAGTACTTTTAGTTTTTTTGGGTTTTAGAAAATTAGCTCTGAATTTTTGTTTTTAACTTTAATTTTTTTTGCTGTAGGTTTGTTTTCAAAACATTTAATAAAAACTGTAGAAAAAAATTGTTTTGAAAATCTAACATATTTATTTTTAACCTTTTTGTTGTAGTTTTATTTTTTTAAATTAAAACATGATTGCTTTATAAAAATGTTTAGAAAGGAAAATAGATGTCTAAATCATTCACCGCCACTATCAATCAACCCCTATTCAACAATTAAAAATTTATCAATCAAAGACTAATGCTATTGAGTATTGATTGATCTTTTGATTTTCTTTTCTTTATTTTATGTCATACTCGACACCTTGGGTATTTTGTCAGCGAAAACAAAAACTCTTCTTGTTTTATTCACATGATGATGATACGATTGAGATGTAACATCAAAGCACAACCCACGAGACCTTGAAGTTTACATAAAATATCTCGATTCACAAGAAGTTACTGGGGGCAAACACGTTTAAAATTACTTCTATGACGTTGAAAACAAACTAACATGCACTGTTGAACTTCTTCTCAAAAAGAAAAAATTATTCTCATTGGCATCATCACCATCTTCTTTTTTTTTTTTTTTTTTTTTT